ATTGATACCATTCAATTTTCTTATCGACTTTGAAAACTCCCTGGAGTCACTAAATTAAAAAGAAGAAATTCCTAATGATTTGACATGAACCCAATACCAGCCAAGTAAAAAAATTACACATATACACCAACAACAATGGTGTGGTGATGGCCTGAGGAAAAAGGAGGTGGGAGTTGGGTGGAGGTGGGCAAAGGGCAGGGGCGATGGGAACATCTGTAATAGTCAACAATAAAAATAAAGTTAAAAAAGGGAAAAGAAACCTTATTGAAAGACATAAAAAGAGACATGAAAATAACATGTTTCCAAAGAGGGGAAAAAAAATTAAATTGCAGTATTTCCCTTCTTTTGCCCTAATCTGTTCCAAATAATGTTCTAGCAGCAATTACTCTTTATAGTGTACAAACTGATAATAAAATGTTACAGAAAAATTATTGTTAGCAATGAGGCTTTTACTCCAAGTTATAATTCTTGTCTTCACTTAATATTTCTTCACAATATCTATTTCTTTTGGATTTCTATGTCCTATTTCAAAGCCATCTTTTTATCTTGGAAAACACATCAAAATGCCTAAGGTTTCTGGCATTCATAACAAAAATTTGTTTTAAATTCAATATCTTTCATCAACACTGGAAAATAGATTTGTGTTCCTGTAACCACTTCTTATTCAGTCTAAAAATGGGATAGTCAGTGAAGGGAAGAGGTTTAGGAAGAGATGCACTTAGCTGAGCTAAACCTTTGAAATATGAATTACGAGACGACACAAGTAAGGTGAAATTTTTCAAAGCTTCTGGAATAATTTGTCTTACAACCCATTAGACTGATACAAAACTGAAATAGTGTAGGTTCCAAAATTTTGTGAAATTCTGTACCTCACAAATGATGAATGAAGCCATGACAAGTATTTTTTTTAAAAAATATATCTTTATTGATTTCAGAGGGAGGAAAGGAGAGGGAGAGAGACAGAAACATCAATGATGAGAGAGTCATTGATCAAGCCCACAACCTGGGCATGTGCCCTGACCCGGAATCGAACCCTGATCGCCTGGATCCTAGGTCGACGCTCAACCACTGAGCCACGCCTGGCCCGCCGCCATGACAAGTATTTTAAAATTACAAAAATTGTTGGCAACTGTGCTGCATTTGGCAGATTAAAATATTTAATTCAACCATTATTATAATCACCATAAATTTTTAAGTGTCCAAAAAAAACAATATATCAAAAACATTTTGCAAACTATGAGATTCTACCTAGTGTTAATTATTAACACTTCTTCTAATGTTTTGCTTATAAAAACAGTCAGAAACAATTTTGTAAATCATTAATTTCATTTAGAATGATTGAAAAATGTTAATTCACAGAAATATATTAACTAGTAACATATATGTGTGCATTAGTATAATTTATAGAAAGCAAAATCAAGTGACTTCTTAAGATTGACAAAAGGTATTTCAATTAATTTTTCATTTTTTTCTAGTGTAAATAATTTTCTTAGAGAAATGTATTAATGACATTTATTCAGTAAACATTTTAAACTATATTCAACATCAATTAACGAAAATATGAAATATCTCATTTCTTCAAGTTTTACAGAAAATTGAACAGTATTTAAAATAATTAAAAACTTCATATTCCCATTATCTAAAAACTATGTTCATATTTGAGTATATTTCTTCTCAGTTGTGTGTGTGTGCACACATATATAGGTTTTTTAATATTCTTCAGATCATATTATATTTACCTTGGTATATAGGTATTTTTCTTGGACTGGGCATTAACATGGGCCTTTTATCTAGACTATTACAATTTTTCATGTCATTTTTAATATGGCCATAATAGTTGGGTATGTATATACCTAAATCGACACATTAGCTATTTTAAAAAAATATTTTAAAATCTCTGTTCATAAAATGAATTATATACTTAGGAGAATTTCTTTAGGATAGATTCTGAAAAACAAATGCATCACTATTTAAAAGAGAATCTTAGCAGATATCAAGAGATGTCATCAACAAAAAACGCAAAAATCCTTAATATAATTATATTTGTTTTTTATGTACACCAACTCCTTAGAACAGCATGAGGGGACAGGGAATTCTTCAATAATTTTCCTTGAACTAACTTTTTTTTGTCTTCCCAAAGTAAACAAAACAGCAGTATCAAAGGACTTTAACATTTGCAAATCAGGGCCAAGTTTGCATCAGAAGAAATGGCTGAGATGAAGAAAGGGATGTATTTATCCTTCTGGTGTCAATGCTACTCTGGTCCAGATCTCCTTGTTCAACTCCCTTTTACTTTCCCTGGATTTGAAGTTAAGGGCTGTCCATGCTCAAGGCATTTTGGGGGAGTTTCTTGCTTTGTGAGCTAGGGTTCCAAGTGCAGTCTTGTCATTTTTGAATCAAAGGAACTTAAATTACTGAAAACATTTTTTTTTTTTTAAGGAGAACATTTTGAAAATTTAGGTTGTGAAAAAAAATTTCGATGTTTTACTCTGTAACTCTTTGATACATGAAAGTGAAAGTCTATAAAAAATAAGATCATGTGTAGGACATGCTTTATTACAGGTAGTACTTAGAGCCCACGTGAGTGGTCATGAATTTAAATTGAGACCAGACCCAGGCCTGTCTGTTTTTCTTAAGCCAATCTCAATGCACAGACGCAAGCCTAGAGTGGATTGAGGTTTCAGCTTAAGCAGGGCTGGGTTTTGTCAGGTTAATACGACGGGGAAAAGAGAATGGCTAGGGAGTTGAGAAGAAATGCCAGGGGATATTAGAATGCTGCATAATGGACTGCAGGAGGCAGAATAAGCAGTGGAGTAGGATTGGGAGTGTGGTAGAGCCCGAAAGGGAGAGAACAGTGATCCCAACAGCACCTACAAGTCATTGCAGTTTGAATACTGGAGAGAGTTCAGACGATTGGAGATGAGCTTGAAGAGGGAGACGACTGAACTGAGAACATGGAAGGGTATGGGATTTGGTAACGACAAGGCTCAGAGTATGGCTGCAGGTGCAGGTGGCTCATAGGGTGAGGGATAAGATCATTGACAGAAAGGACATCTTGGTAGTGGAAGGCCAGAGAGAGGGGTAACCTGCGTGGTTATTGAAATTAGGATAATTACTGCAGGCATCCTATTAGAGGTGCCATGAAAATCATAGTGACCTCAGAGTGGTCCCCAGGTTAGCAATGCCAACGTGGTCTGAGTACTGGTTGGAAATGCAAATTCTCAAGACCCATTAAGGCTTATTCAGTGGGAATCCCAGGGGTGGAGCTTCATGTAATGGACCATGAACATTGAGAGCTACCTATGACATAGCACAGATACAGAGAAGTTAATTGCTTGGAGAAGTAGCAAGGTTTTCAGTGAGGTGGTATTTGCACCTGAATTACTGCAAGGTGAACGGGTAGGGCCTTAAAATGAAAGGGAGCAGCATTTCCAAAGTAAAAGCTGGAATCATGGAGAGACCTCGGGTAAGATCAAATGAAAGTCTGTGAAAGTGTACAGTGTGAGCTGTTCATACCGGAAAATCATGCCTCGCTAGGAAGGCCCTGGTTTAGGCATCCTGGAACGACATCGCGGAAGCCTTTCAGTTCACCTGGCTCTCGGAGCAGTGCTGAGGGCTCGGCGAGCCAGTGCAGCTGCCCGGCGCTCCGTCGCCCACCGTCCTCCCGCAGCCCTGAGGGTCACGGAGAAACGGCTGCCTAGAGCAGGTATCCTCGGCCGGGCGAGCACCCGAGGCCTCGGCCCTCGAACGACCTCGCCCGGCGCCCCCGCGGCGTGTTCCACCCGCGGCCGGCGTCCCGGGGCGGGGCTTGCGCAGGGCTGACGTCACTATCCAGCGCCGGGCGCGCGCGTCGGGCGGCGGATTCAAACGTTCCTGCCGGGGTCTTGGGCTTGAAGAAGCGTCGGCGCCGGGGTTGCTGTCGCTCTCCCCGCGGACCCGAGCTTCGGTGAGGTGCCGGGAGCCCCCGGGGCCTGAGGGGAGGATGGCGCTGTCGGCCACAGTCTCTCAGAGGAAGCGGGTGAAGCGGAAGGCTCCCCGCGGCTTCCTTAAGCGTCTCTTCAAGCGACAGAAGCCTCACCTTCGCCTGGAGACAAGTTGCGACTTGCTGGTGAGATTCTCTCCCTTTTTCGGCCTGGAGGGGGGCTGGAGCAGGCAGGGGAAATAAACCCCGGCCTTTATTTCGCCGCCCCCAGGCAGTCTGGTTCTCTCAGGCCTATGTTTAAGGCGTTTCCAGCCATGATTAGGCGGGTCGGCCCCAGCCTGGCGCTTCAGGTCGATTCCTGACGCTTAACCATGTTGGAGCCGCTGAAGTGTAGATATCGGTACCCTTTTACTGGAGGCTCTTAGCCGCATCGACTTAAGGAGGAAACTGACGTTAAGTTCCTGCTTATAGCTTTCTCATATCTCTGTTCAGGAGCACAGCATGGTACTGAGTGTAGTGGACTTGCTCAAGGAAGGTAGATACAGCCTTCTAAGAATGGATTTTGGAATTCAGGCTGGGTCATTTTTATTTAACTATTGTAAAAGGCATTGCTGACATGCCTTTTTTATGTCGTTAACCAAATACATTGCCTTTTCTCTACTTTAGCTTACTTACTCTAGAAGCCTGATTCAGAAGTTTATTTGTAAGCAGTATGCTCTCAGCTGTGAATTCGTTTTCCGAGGCAGACAACACCGATTAATCAGTTTTCAAGCCAAACCACTAAAGCTTGTTCACCTGACTCATCATACCTGTACCGTAATGCTTGCCTAGTAAATAGCCACAACCAAACCACTGTGTGATATTCCTGCCTTAAATTACATGCAGAGTCTTTCAGTCGAATGCCTTCAACATATATCCCACAGAATGAACACTGTTTCCCTAGGTTTAAACCATGGGAGACACCTCCTCTGGTCTGTCACAAGAGCTCTTTGAGTAAAGGAGCCTTTGTAAGTGGGCACCTAATTTTCAGGAGATCAAGGTAAAGAATTGTGGCTANCGCGTCGGGCGGCGGATTCAAACGTTCCTGCCGGGGTCTTGGGCTTGAAGAAGCGTCGGCGCCGGGGTTGCTGTCGCTCTCCCCGCGGACCCGAGCTTCGGTGAGGTGCCGGGAGCCCCCGGGGCCTGAGGGGAGGATGGCGCTGTCGGCCACAGTCTCTCAGAGGAAGCGGGTGAAGCGGAAGGCTCCCCGCGGCTTCCTTAAGCGTCTCTTCAAGCGACAGAAGCCTCACCTTCGCCTGGAGACAAGTTGCGACTTGCTGGTGAGATTCTCTCCCTTTTTCGGCCTGGAGGGGGGCTGGAGCAGGCAGGGGAAATAAACCCCGGCCTTTATTTCGCCGCCCCCAGGCAGTCTGGTTCTCTCAGGCCTATGTTTAAGGCGTTTCCAGCCATGATTAGGCGGGTCGGCCCCAGCCTGGCGCTTCAGGTCGATTCCTGACGCTTAACCATGTTGGAGCCGCTGAAGTGTAGATATCGGTACCCTTTTACTGGAGGCTCTTAGCCGCATCGACTTAAGGAGGAAACTGACGTTAAGTTCCTGCTTATAGCTTTCTCATATCTCTGTTCAGGAGCACAGCATGGTACTGAGTGTAGTGGACTTGCTCAAGGAAGGTAGATACAGCCTTCTAAGAATGGATTTTGGAATTCAGGCTGGGTCATTTTTATTTAACTATTGTAAAAGGCATTGCTGACATGCCTTTTTTATGTCGTTAACCAAATACATTGCCTTTTCTCTACTTTAGCTTACTTACTCTAGAAGCCTGATTCAGAAGTTTATTTGTAAGCAGTATGCTCTCAGCTGTGAATTCGTTTTCCGAGGCAGACAACACCGATTAATCAGTTTTCAAGCCAAACCACTAAAGCTTGTTCACCTGACTCATCATACCTGTACCGTAATGCTTGCCTAGTAAATAGCCACAACCAAACCACTGTGTGATATTCCTGCCTTAAATTACATGCAGAGTCTTTCAGTCGAATGCCTTCAACATATATCCCACAGAATGAACACTGTTTCCCTAGGTTTAAACCATGGGAGACACCTCCTCTGGTCTGTCACAAGAGCTCTTTGAGTAAAGGAGCCTTTGTAAGTGGGCACCTAATTTTCAGGAGATCAAGGTAAAGAATTGTGGCTAACAAGGACATGTGGTATGGAGAGTGTCTTCAGAATGCGTTGTTCCACCTGTTCTTAAGCTGCACCCCGCCCCCCCTTGTCTCTAACTCCCCTGCTGAAACCTACTTGCAAGGTCTCTCTTTTTGTTAGACTACTATAGAATTGTCTTCATTTTTCCTTTATTTGGTCTCTGAAGCCAAAACAAACTTTTTTTTTTTTTTTTTGGCTTGGGAAAATAGCCCATGTAATATCTCCTGTCCTTTTTTGGTTCCTTTCTTAGACCCCATAAGAAAAGACAACATATACTGTTTTGTACACCCCTCATCCCCCATGGTGATGATAAAGGTTGCACAAGTGAGTTGGATTAAAGGGAAATTGATTTACAAGACATTTTTAGGTAATTTATTCTGGAGTTTTCACTGGTCTTGGGGTCCTAAATGGAGGTGGAAGAAATGTATCTGCTCAAGACTATCTAGGCGACTGTTACACAGTTGGCAAAAATTTCTCCAGTAGTGAGGTTCCTCCACATTCACACCTGTCTGCCCCAAAGTAACTCATGGGCAGGTGGGCTGTATTGCAGAGTGTGACCCAGGTGGTGCAGGAAGAAGGGGAGGTGAAATTCCAAGTGGTGGTGGTAGGGGAAAGGAATTTCTTTAGGCCACTATCTATTCCTAGGTCTTATGCTTTTCTTTGGCTTTCATTGATTCTTGTTCATTCTCTGTGTATGCCATTCATCACCCTGGTTCTCTTTGCTATGGTTTCTGCTTGCCATTGACACTTCATAATCTTACCCAGCAGATGTCCCACATCATCCATAAACTTTTCTACAATTAAGGCATTCTTTTTTGACCTCTTTTTTTTTCCGAACTTTGATAACAGAGAAAGTGTACATCAGACAGTTTAGCTATAGGGAATTTGACACTGTTCACTAAGAATTTCATATATCAATGTTGTCTCCTCCTGTAGTATGTAGCTTCTTGAGGAGAAGGAATTATACATGTTTTTTGTGTCTCCCATTAACTTTAACACAAATCTAATCTACTTTTATGCTGTGTTTTGTATATATTTCTTCGGCCTGAAGATGTCCTCACTCCACTCAGCAAACTCCAGTTCTTTCAAAATTCGGTTAAAAAACCATGTCTTCAGTGAAGCCTTTCTTAATCGTCTTAGAAAGAATTAACCTTATCATACTCTATTTATTGTCACACATCTTTAATTTCTTTATGGGTTTGGTTCTGCCATTGGACTGGGAAGTTTGGGACTTTTCATATTCCTAATGTCCAACAACATAACAGCTTGAACATTCTGAGCGTGCAGTTAATGTTGGGACTGCATGGAAGAGATTTACTTTTGACAGTCTACCCTTTTGTAGACTCTTGCTTTATATTTTTTTATTTTGTAATAATTATAGATTCACATGAACTGGCAAAATAGTAGAGACTACCAATGTATCTTTTACCCAGCTTTCCACAATGCTGACAACTCCCATAACTACAGTCCTTTGTGGAGTCTTGAATTTGATATTGTCTGCTTATATTATCTATTTTAAATAATTTCTTAAAAGGTGCCTTAAAGATTATTAATAGTACATATGATTATTTTGATATTGTTAGATGATAAGTAATGACATTTGTACATATACTTTTCAACTCTAAACTTTTAGAATTTTAATTATTAACATGTTTTTGAATAGATCTTTCAAATACCTGGTTAAAAAATTTTTAGACCTTGGATGGTAGAATGAAAGATTACTAGCCTTAAATATGTTGTTTTGATTTTAGATTTTGGGAAAATTTTAAATACATTATAAATTTAAACTTATTTGGAATCAGAAGCAGGAATATTTGTTACTTAATAAAGTTCTACATAAGTTTTGATCTAATGATGCTTTGCAGTAATGTTATTGTTGATAGCCTTTGGTTAGCCTTACATATCCTTGTTTCATGTAGTGCAATAACTAGGTCTCTTGTATGGAATCTAAGCTGAACCTATATTAAACTACATTTTCTTACTTTAAATAAAAATTAATTGACTTAATCATAGTACTAACAGTAAACTTGGGATCTTTTATTTTTAAAAGTCATTATTGCAAAACATCGATATTTTGAGTTTAAAAATTCTTTTGAATTTTCTCTTTTAAAGGTGCACCTGAACTGTTTACTGTTTATTCGTCGGTTAGCAGAAGAGACCAGGACAGATGCTTGTAAGAATAAGTGTGGAATCATTAAAGACCAACATGTGCTGGCTGCAGCAAAGGTAAGGTCTGAATTTCCTTTCTTGAGCAAGAATTGACTTTAAAAATACCACCTGATTCATCACCTCTCCCTGATTTAGATTTCTTTATTCAGCTTTGTTGACTCAGTTGATACATGGCTTTTATGTTAAAAGATTTAAATATGGAGTTAGATTTTCTTTATGTGTATATTATGGATTGCTGATTCGAAGATTCAGGGCCACTGCTTTGTCACTATTTAGCTGAAAATAAATGTTTGACTCTAATCTGTAGGACTTGTAGTAGGCTGTATATAGTTGAGAAGGTAATCACCTTGAAATTTATCAAACCTTTCTTGATCATTTTGCTTTCCTAATTGCCTAATTATTTGTTTTTCTAATTGTGTTTTGAGATTTGCTTGATTTATGAGTCAAATTACTTATAAAAGGAGAAAATATTGCTTCTTACTGGTATTTCTATATAATGTAACAGTGTGATGCCTAGGGCAGAGTTTTTTCTGAATATGTTTCTGAGATCATTTCCGCTTGATGTTATTAGATGCCCCACCATGAAAAGCTTCTGGTGTCAAGATACATTTCGATAACATACTATATACCTCCTTGAATAGTCACAATGCTATTACGTATATAGAGCTTTTTTTCTATAGGGATATGCAAGAAATTGGCAACCATGGTTGACTAGGGGATGATGTGGGAGAGAAACTTATTTTTGATACTTTACATCTTTGTATACTTATTTCAAAATAATTATAGACTCACAGAAGGTGCAAAGGAGTATAGAGAGTTCCATGTACCTTTTGTCCAGCTTTATACAATGCTAACATCTTTATATAACTATAGTTATGTAAAGTTATAAAAGGTTATGGGAAATATAGCAGTAAAGAAACTTGTTGAACTGTTTAACTTAGCATTTTGTAAATTTGAATACATAATATACTCAGCATTTTGTAAATTCCTTTGAGTGCATAGTACTTCCTTTTCCAGTACCAATACTAACATCTTATTGAACAGAGAAGTGCTAACCTAGGGTACAGACCTATTTGGTGGCCTCTGTGGAAGCCTAGAAATGTGCATGCCCTGGCTTTTTTTTTTAGGGGTTTCATATTTTCTCACAATTATAACATTCCAAAAAGATTCTAGACTATTAAAAGTCAGTTTTTCTGTAGGTAAAGCAAGATTTAAGAGCTTGAAGAGTGTATGTATGTATTTTAAATTTAAGCTTTGTTTTTATTAACAAATGATAGGTATGTTTAATCTAAAAGTAGATAAGTTCTTTAAAAAAGGGGGGGACGGGGGATATATTCTGGTCTAATGCTCCCTGTCTCTTACAACTAAAAATCTCTTGTTTTATTTCTCTCATGGACTGTATATTTTGAAAATTGTCTACCTAACAAGCTTTTTAGCATTAGATGACTAGTCTTGGTCTCTAAATTGATATAATTCCAGACCAAATATAAGAAATTTGTTTCAGTTGATTTGTATTGCTTTATAGTTGTTGAATGCCTGATTTATAATAGGATTTTAGAGTTTTGGAACATTCTGCAACTCCCAGGATTACGAAATTGTCTACAAACCTCATGTTAGAAACGATTAATATGGACACTTTTAACTTACAATTGAAGAAATTAACATCTAGAAGTGACTATAAAACCAGATTTTGAGACTCTAGGTATGTTTTACCTTCTTTGAGAGAAGTAGAAGTCTCAGACCATTATATAAAAGGTTCCCTAATCATCTTCCATATTGGGTTTTATAAATTCAGAATCTTGCATATTATACACAGAAATATTTAACTTTTTGTTGAGGAATTATGTTTTATTTGCTATAGGTATAATATGAATCTTCATATTTTTTCTCTCTCACAGGTAATGCTAAAGAAGAGCAGAGGGTAGAAGTCAAAGAACACATTTTTGAAAATTATGATGAATTTTTTTATTTTCATATAGGTGGTAACAGATCGTAAAAGCACTTTTACATATGAGTTAATATTGTATATTATTAAAATATTGGCTGCTTGAGGATGTGTGCATTTGTATATTTTTTTTACTGGTATTGAAATATCTCAAACACTTAAGACTATATAACTTTATTTTTGAGGAATGATGTTTCATTCATTTTAAATGGACTCAAGTTCATTTTACTTTTGTTTCATTGGTATTGCAAATGTTTTGCGTATCAGAAATGAAATCTTACTATATGAAGTAGCCTGAAGAGATGTATTTCTTGAAATTAAGCATATAAGTATTTAGCTTTACACACAATTAACTCTGGAATCAATTTAATCTTTGAAAAAAGACAAAATGCAGTCAAATCTAGGTCCATTTGAAATAATTTAAACTCTTTAATGCCTTTGCATAACTAATGCAGTCTACTTTTTATTACTGAGTTGTATTCTATGGTGTTTATATACCACAGCTTGTATAGCTATTCACCCATTGAGGGCCATTTTGGTTATTTCCAGTTTTTGACTGTTACAAATAAAGCTGATGTGAACAATCATTTATGAGTTTTTATACAGATACAAGTTTTCATTTCTCTGGGATAAATGCCCAGGAGTGTGATTGCTGGGTCAAATGGTAAGTATACATTTAGTTTTTGAAAAAGAAATAGCCAAACTATTTTCCAGAGTGGCTGTACCATTTTATATTCCCATCATCTGTTTATGAAAGATTCACTTTCTTCACATTCTCATGAATATTTGGTATTGTTGTTTTTTAATTTGGCTGTTCTGATAGGAGTGTGTCTCAAGGTTTTTGATTTGCATTTCTCTAATGGCTAATGGTGTTGCACATACTTTCATGTTTGTCATACACTTTTTCTGTTTGGTGAAATGTTTCTTCATTTTTGTGTGTGTGTATTTTCTACTTATTTGGATTTTTTGTTTTTCTAATGTGGAATTTTGAGAGTTCTTTATTCTAGGTATGGGCCTTTGTCAGATAATATGGTTTGCAAATATTCTATTTGTTAGCTTTTCTTTTATCTTAACAGGGTCTTTTGAAGATCAACAGTTTTTAATTTTGATGAAGTCTAATTTACTTGATTTTTTTCATGTATTGGTGTCATGTTTAAGAACTCTTCACCAAACCTGAGGTCCTGAGGATTTTTTTCCTATATGATTTTTTTTACAGGTTTTATAGTTTGTTTTCCACTCAAATATCTGATCTATTTTGAGTTAATTTTTGTATGAGATTCATTTTTTTGTTTGTAGGTATCCAGTTTCAACACTAATTTTAGAAAGGACTACTTTTTTTTTCATTGAATTTGTTTTTCACTTTTGTCACAGATTTGTTGGTCATACTTGTATGGACTGTTCTTGGATTCCGTATTCCATTGGTTTGTTTCAGTCCCTCCATGTAGTCTTCATTACTGTGGCCATGTAATCAGTCTTAAAATTAGTAGAGTGATTACTCCCTTGATTCTTATTCAGAATTGTTTTGGCTTTTGTAGTTTCTTTGCCTTTTCATAGAAATTTTAGGATAATCTTGTTTGTATCTACAAAAGAATCTTGCTGGAATTTTTATTGGAATTACATTAAATCTGTATATCAACTTGGGGAGAATTGGCATCTTAACTGTAATGAATCTTTTAGTCCATGCTTATGGAATATCCCTCTGTATCTTTGATTTGTAGGGTTTACTTTTTCATTTCCTTTCTGTTTAGAGACCTTCCTTCTGTCATTCTTTTAGTGTAGGTCTGCTGCTGACAAATTTTCTTAGTTGCCTTTATTTGCGAATGCCTTGATTTCCCCTTCATTCTTGAAGCATATTTTTGCTGGATGTAAAATTTGGGGTTGACAGTTTTTTAGCACTTGAAAACTTTTTAACCCTATCTTTTTTTTTTTTTTCCTTCTGGGTCTCTGATGACACAGATGTAAGATCTTATTTTAAAGTTCCACAAATTTTTGTTTATTTTTGGTCTATTCTCTATTGTTTAGATTTGGTAATTTCTGTATTCAATCTTATAGTTCACTGATTATTTCCTCTGTCTTCCCTTTCTGCTGTTGACCCATTGAGTGGTTTTATTTAATTTTGAGTTATTGTATTTTATAATTTTCAGAGTTCCTTTGGTTTCTTCGTTATATCTTCTATATCTTTGCTGAGACTTTCAAAAAAATTTTGTTTTCATTTATTACAAGTGTGTTTGTAATCACTAAGGCATTTTTTTGATGGCTGTTTTGAAATTCTTGTCTGATAATTCTAACATTGTGCCATCTTTGTACTGATTTTTTTTTAATCATTCAGTTTGACATCTTCTTGAGTCTTTATTATGAGTGATTTTATTGAAACCTGGACATTTTGGGTATTACATTATAAGACTTATATAACTCTTGTGCTATCACAGGCTTTCTCTGACATCATTCTGATGGATGAAACATGGCGCTGCCTTGTTACTGCTACTGGGAGTAGAAGTCCAGGCTCTCCACTTATCCTCCGTTGTTGACAACCAGTGATGGGAAAGGAAGGGGCTCTCTTTTCTTGTTATTGCTGGTCAGAGGTGGGAGTTTAGACCTTCCACCAGGCTTTGTTGATACTATCCTGATTGGGATAGGGGTGGCACCTTGGTACTACTACCTACCTTTATTCTACTGACGTGGGAAAGTGGTCATGTTACCCCCTGATCAGTGGTTTAAATCCTGACTCCACAAGTCTCTGATACCATCCAGTGGAGAAGGGAAGGAGTTGCTCGTTACCAAAGCATGAGGGTGGAATACCACTCTACTTCTGTGGTCTTCACTGACACTATGAGGGCGAGGCATGTCCTCATTACTGCCCAGTGGTGAAAGTCCTGCCTCAGTAGGTCTCTGATACTTCACCAACAAGGAGAGGATGGTGCTTTCTGTTACTGTGGGGTAGGGATGGAATTAATGGCTCAGTATAAAATTCCCAGCTTCTCACTTGACCTTCTCTGAGACCACCCTTGGAGGGGTAGGGTTGGGATGCATCATTACTCCCTAGCAAGAGTAGAATGCCTAATTGACCTTTGCTGATGGCGGTGGAGAATGTGGGTTGCAGTTTTTATTTGTGGTGTTTGGCTGGAATAAAGTGGTTATCTAAAAATTTTTCTGTTTTTACCCCTTTTAGTTAGAGAGAGTAGGTTTTTTGGTGGCTGTTTTGTTTCCCCCTCTGGTCTGTGCCCATTGGTATTTCTGAGTTGCCAGCTTCTCTAGTATTCAGTCTGAGATAGAAGGGGAAAAAGACTACCAAGGGAACTCACTGCTGTATTATTCCTTTGGTACCAAATTTCTAGCTAGTCTGTTGCCTTCTCTTGACTTTTCAGTCTTCTTATATTTGTTTTATATATATAAAGTCCAGAATTTTTAGTTGAACTAAGTGAGGAATCGGGAAAAGTACATTTATTTCATCTTGAAAGCAGGAGTCCCAATAACTACTTAACGAAAAAGTCTTCAAGGCTGTTGACAACAGCTAAGTGAAATATTCTTAATAAATATCATGACATGAAGAAAAGAATTCTTGGAATTATCTAAACTAAAATCCTGGGATTTATCCTTGATTCCTTCAAATCCATCTGCCTTCTTCCCTTATTCAGTCACATAGGTCACCAGGATCTATCTGACTTTGAATCTTAAGTCTGTTCCTACCTTTCTTTACCCTCCATTGCTTTGTTTTAGACTCTCCTTTCAATATCTGATGCAATAAATATGTACCTGGCACCTGACTTACTGCAGTATCCTATCTGATATCCTTGATTCTAGTTCCGTGCCCTACCTTTATACAGTCTGGAGTCCATCTTCACAGTATTGGAATTATCTTTCAATAAAATATAAATCTAATCACGTCATGTCCCTATTGAAAATCCTTTAGTAGCTTATCATCATCTTGGGTTCAAATGAAACTTCTGAGCCTGATGGAAAACACTGTGAGTTATCTGCTACAGACTTACATGTATGTGGACAGGGCTTATTATCTGGTATTTTCCTTGGAGGTGAGTAGGTTTATGATCAGAGAACTAGGTACATATACCAGGGAACTCCAGAAATCAGAATATGGAGGCTATGGATAGTGCCTGATTCTCTGTCTTGGTCAAGAATTTAAACTCCAGCATTTTTATGTGGAGAGTTGGAGATTGAAGTAAACCAGAAGCAAGACACAATGAAGATAGTAGCAGAAATGTATTAGTTTGTCTTATATATCTTTTGGGGTATTTATATTGCCACCCATTCCTTTACCTGAATTAGAAAAGATGAAGAGAATTTAGAATATGAGGTTCAATAGAGGTAGGGAAAAAGATGATTTTAGATTAAGTGAATTGTGTTCTGGATGTTGAGAGTCTGTAAGACCTTGAACAACTAGTTTAACTGGCGCCTCTATTTCTGATTAGATAGAGCGAGGGGTAGTTTTAAGATACTCCTGTTAGCATATGTAAAACTCAACTATTTGCCTTGTTTTCTTGAGATATTGTCATCTCTGACTTATCTTTGTGCAGTTTCCTTTTTGAGTCTTAGCGTTCCCTTTGTCTGACTACCTGAGTTTTCTTTGGTTAGTATTTGTATGATATAGTATATATTTTTCACCATGATACTTTCAAACATTCTATGTTCTTTAAAGTGTGTCTCTTGTTATTAGCATATACTTGGGTTTTGTTCTTTTATCCAATATGATAATATTAATAATTGGAATTTGTAGTTCATTTATATTTAATGTGTAAGTACTGCAACATTTGGTTTTATATTTACCATTTTACTATTTGTTTTCTATGTGACCCAGCTGCTTTAAGTGCCTTTTTTTTGTTTTCTTTTGAATTAACTTTTGTGGTTCACTTTACCTTCTATTATTCTAGCTATATATTGTTATACTAGGAATTATAATAGGCATCATTGATTTATTATATCCTTTATAATCTATCTACGCAATCTTTTATTAGAGATTATAACATGTACCTTTGGCTATCTCTAGACCATTAGAACACTTTAACTCCATTTACCTGCCTTTTGATTATTTTAATTTGGCATATGTTATACCACATAAAACACTAGAATTATTAGTATTACTTGGTACTGT